CCCCCTTATCTCCTGGATGTTTGTTAGAGTTTACTAAAAAGCCATCCCAAAAAGCAAGATCCTGTGATGTGATCAAGGTTACAGGTGTTGCACAGCCTCTACTGTTCTGCCCGTGCTTGAAAAAAGCATCCTCTGGAGAAGAGCAATAGTTCAGTCTCCATGGCAACTCCTTCTTCTGCCTCTCTTGAGCAGAGACTGTCAATTGTATTAAATTAAGGGTGATGGTTTTGTGATGACTCCTACACCCAAGGGACTGTGACTGAAACCACTAGACTTTTGTTACTGGAGGACAGAAGCTGGGATAAAATGGAATTAGTTGAGTTATCCTGACAGGGCAACCTGTGTTTCTGTATATGTATGAACACATATGTATATAAAATGCGTGTGCATGTTATATACATAAACCATATATGCATTCATATACTTATAGAGCCATATTTATGCTCTAACACACACAAGCATTAAGGAATTCAAGAAAAAGGTCAAATACATTTGACCTCAAGTTCTCTCAGTTCATTCTTCTCTTTTTCAAAACTTCACCTCTGACTTTGTGCAGCGTTAACAGCCAAAGGTGATTAGAGAGCTTCTTATCGGAGCTCGATCTGTTTCCAGTAAAAAAGTTTTCATTGCTTTCAGTGTAGGTTTGATAGGAGCCTTAGTGGCAGCTATGAAAGCCACGTGACAGGTCTGGCGATTTCAGACACAGCTGACCTTGAGTTTTAGATTTCCTAAGGGAAAAAGCAGTTGGTTTACTCACTTGCCTTTAACTCTTTTTCTGTCATTTTTCCAAGGACAATTTCAGTTTGGGTTTTTTGTTTCTTTGTTTTGTTTGGGTTTTTTTTCCAAAATAACTTTTTGGGTGTGACATTGGGTTATAGAGATTAGCTTGAGAGCTGATAAATCCTTCAAGCCATACCCAGCTGTGAAATGTGGGATAGTCTTGCTGGTCTGAAGTTCAAAAAAGAAAGGTCCATTTAAATTCTAGTTGATACTTCTAAGTAAATAATTTTAAAGGCACCTTTGGACCCCTTTTGAAGAAAGATGCTATATAGGTGTAAGTAGCGGCCATTACCATTTTTCAAAACACGCTTATAATTAAAAGTGCAGCATTTAATAGCTTCCTCTCCCGTCTTCTGTATTTCTTAAGTTATTCAAGTTTGAGATTAAGTATTTTCAGAGAGTAGCAAACCCTTAAAGGATTTTTCAGGTGACAACACAAAAGTAACCTATAGACAAGTTCTCATTTTGACTTGTCAACTATTAATTTGGAAAATAACATATCATACGGTATGTTCAAAA